GAGAGAGAGAGAGAGAGAGAGAGAGAGAGAGAGAGAGAGAGAGAGAGAGACTGACTGACTCTTTTTCAAACCTCAAAGCTCTTTCCCAACAAGGCCACATCTCCTAATCTTTCAAATAATGCCACTTCCTGGTGACAAAGCATTGGAATCTATGAGCCTGGTGGCAACTATTGTCAAACTATTGTCATTCCAACTACCATACCCTCATAGGGATCAGTGAATAGATCGAGGCAGAGGGCAAAGGTCAGGAATGTCTGAGGGTAGGAGTTCCTAGTAATTAAGAAGGTGTTGTATTTCCAGCCCCCATTTTTCACTTACCAAGATAGGCTAACACAGTATTTAGTATGCTGATAAGTTTTCAAAAGCCATTAATTTATTACAATGGGTGCTGATGAGGTTTGCGTTCCAGTGCACATGCGTGAGTGTGCACATACACACAGGAGCTAATAGAGGTATTTCCTTGGGTACTCTGAACCTCTTTGAGACAGGGCCTCTCCTTGGCCTAGTGCTTGCCAATGGGTTTCAGATATATTCCTTTCTCCACTTGCAATGCTGGGATCACAGGTGGGATGTTTCTCCTGGTGTTTTTACATGTGTTCTGGGGAGTTGCACTCAGGCCCTCAAACATTTCCACGTACAATATCCTAGTGTATCTAATGGAAGAAATTCTCTTTTACTTTTTCAAATTTAATTAAAATATTATTTCATGGCTGGCCAGTGTTGGCAGCCACCTTTAATCTCAGCACTCAGGAGACAGAGGCAGCGAATCTCTAAATTCAAGGCCAGCCTGGACTACAGAGCAAGTTAGGATAGCCAGGGGTACACAAAGAAAGTCTGTCTCAAAAAAGCAAACAAAGCAGGCTCAGCAAGTCAGTAAGCAGTGTGCCTCCGTGGCCTTGGGCCACCCCTGGCTTCTCTTAATGATGGCTCATAAGCCAAATAATTCATTTCTCCCAAAGTGTTTAGTCATGATCTTTATCAGAGTAAAGACATACATAATACCATAAGAAATAATTGTTACTGTCATGACATTAGACACACAGTCAATGAAACAGAATTAATAACTATTAATTGGTTATCAATTGACAGATAAGCCTTCAATGACTTTTTTTTGTTTTTTGTTTTTGTTTGTTTTTTGTTTTGTTTTTCGAGACAGGGTTTCTCTGTGTAGTTCTGGCTGTCCTGGAACTCACTCTGTAGACCAGGCTGGCCTCGAACTCAGAAATCCGCCTGCCTCTGCCTCCCAAGTGCTGGGATTAAAGGCGTGCGCCACCACTGCCCGGCCAAGCCTTCAATGACTTAAACAAAAATGGGTGCCAATATGATCATAGATACTTAGCAGTAAATTTTTCTGAAATGGCCAGATAAAGAAAAAGTAAATCCAAGTGTGGTGGCTGGTCTGACACTTGTAATCCCATCCCTGAGGCACGAAGAGCCGGTTCTTGGTCCAGGTTGCTTCTCAAAGGAAGACAAGCAAAAGATAAGTTCAATCAATCAAAATTCTTTTTTGTTTTTTGTTACAGAGGCTCTACTAATACAACAATGAGAGCAGACAGGGATGGGAGAAAATATTTACAGATCATGTATCTCATAGAGGACTTCTAGATACAAAGACATGCGTAAAACTGAAAGTATACCTGTTCAGATTTCAGTCGCCTTTGTCACAAACAGTATACACAGGGTATCAAGCAGGGCAGTGCCTCAGTGCCTTTAGTGGTCATGCACCTTAAAATCACCACACCCTGGTGGCAAGAACCAAACAAGAAAATAACAGAAAGGGAGAGAGATCATGGGGAAATGTCGACTTGGTAATTCCCAGCAGCACAAAGTGGTTCACAACTGTCTGCAACTCCAGCTCCAGAATATACAGAGCCATTTTCTGGGCAGCGGGTGCGCTCGTACTCATGGGAAGCAGGCAGACAGGCAGGCAAAAACCACTGATCTCATTATAATGTAAGTACAAGACATCTTCAAACATGGGACCCTCTTGCCTGAGCCTCCCAGATACTATAACTGTAGACAGGGCCACTGAGAAAAAAATGTATATATTATATGAAAGCGGGGTTTGTTTGTTTGTTTGTTTGTTTTGGTTTTTCGAGACAGGGTTTCTCTGTGTAGTCCTGGCTGTCCTGGAACTCCCCCTGTAGACCAGGCTGGCCTCGAACTCAGAAATCCGCCTGCCTCTGCCTCCCAAGTGCTGGGATTAAAGGCTTGAGCCACCACAGCCCGGCATGAAAGCGGTTTTGACTTGTTTTAATTTTTTTCTTTTTTTAGTGAACATTTTAATTGTGTGTGTGTGTGTGTTCGCACGCACACATGTGCATCCGTATGCATAGATGTGTTATCGAGCGTGTGTGTTCATACATATATGTATGCTTAAGAAGAAAACAACTCTGCTGATTTTTACCTATCTTTCCCAGTCTAAACTTACTGATTTATTTGTGGTTTCAAAAAGCTTTATTGGCCGGGCGGTGGTGGCGCACGCCTTTAATCCCAGCAATTGGGAGGCAGAAGCAGGCGGATTTCTGAGTTTGAGGCCAGCCTGGTCTACCGAGTGAGTTCCAGGACAGCCAGGGCTTCCCAGAGAAACTCTGTCTCGAAAAACCAAAAAAAAAAAAGCTTTATTTTTCCAAGAGACTGATACTTAGGCTCAGGAAATAAATGCTGGTGATTTGTGTAGGAGGGAAAAAAAACTTTATTTTTACTTGTTCCAAGACTTGCGAGGAGTTCCAGGGTGATTACAAAGCTGACTTGTGGCTTGAGAATTTCGGGTGAAGGTCTCGAGGCTGGCTAGTGTGGAGCCGAGGAGGGGCCCCTTAGAAGGTGCGAGATGTTCTAGC